CCAGAAGTTGTTGTATTTCATCTATGGGAAAAGTAAATCATTCTTTGGAATAATGATAGAGACCTTTAAGGTCCTTTGAATGAAAAGTTTCTGCAGGATGATCCATTGATGTAAGCTAAGCATACATAAGAAGACAAAAAGTCAGTATACCCATTTAATTGGAGCCTACTGGCTGTTAAGCCTCCCCAGGACAGCACCAAAACTTTGTACTTTCATTGGCTATAAGCATCTCCCAGACAATACAATGCCATTATACAAAACCATCAAGACTTTCTTGATCTTTGATACTTAAAAGGTATTATCTGTAGGTCAAAATATTCTGACTGACTCTTCACTGATGAAACTTTTACATTTAGAAAGAATTTGTAATATCCAGACCTTCTGATGTGACAAGGAAGAAGAATGGATGGGTACTATGGTTGCTGATGCTATACAGCTTATTTGCATAAAGGTATAGAATCATTTGGGTTGGAAAAGACCTCTCAGACCATCAGGCTCAACCATTCCCAAGATTTCACACAATGGCAGTATGAGATTTTGGCACTGAGGTTAATACTGGCTCAGTCAAATCTGGCAGGAGGGCATTCCTGCCTGCACCTGCCTGTGTCACCTTGATCAAAGCTCAGCAGAAAGTACACAGCAAAGCCTAAAACTACTGGGGGGGAAAACTCTCAGTGTAGAACTGTGGATCAGATCTAAGAGGAATCAGGGAACCAGTAAATAATCAGACCATGGATGCAATTCAGATTCCCACCAAGCTTATGTTATGGCCTTTTACAGCCTGCTAAAACACTTTTCACCCCCCAAAAACCCCATCTGAGGGAAAAAAAAGACAACCACAAAGCAAAATGGAGAAATCCCTACACTAGCTTTTTTTTCCCTGCCCTTTCAGCTGCCTAACACGGTCCCTTGAATCCCTGGCAGAAAGAGGCAAGAAATGCCTATTTTTGATAGCATGGATTTTTCTTTAAATGGAAAAACTTCATTCATCTAAGCTGTTGCCAAACAGAACCATTTTCAAGGGGATCATTTTACAGCACGAAGCTTTGAGAATCTGCACTGTAGAAAAATTTGTTATTCCTTGTGGTACTGCTGCTTGGGCTAAATTGACAAAAAATTTATTCAGAGGGTAATGCATCCATTTCTGGTCTCTGCCTCCTCCTCAAAGGCGGGCGTTCCAGTCTGGGTGAGTGATTTCTTGGCATTACTACTTGGCATTTCCCCAAAATGCTTGGGGGCTTTGTTACATTATCATGGAGTTGCTGACAGGCACCTCACGGGGGCAGCATCCTCTAGTATTCTTGTTTCAATCTCCTTCATTAAACCCAGCTCTGCTTCCACATTGAATTAAAAAAAAAAAAAAACCCAAAAAAACTGTCTACACAAAATAGCATTATTCTGTTTATGCTGTGTTAATTAACGAGGGGCTCAAAGCAAGCTGGTGACATCCCACCTTTATAGCGAGTGCTGTAGGAAATAATGTTGCCCTGCTTCAAAGAGAGGGAAAAAACAGCTGAGCATACCCACACAATGATAAAGGTTGGAAAAGCCCACAAGACCACTGAGTCCAATCATTCTGTACCAAGCCTACCACTAACCCATGTCCTCAAGTTCCACATCCACACATCTGTTAAATGCATCCAGGGATGGAGACTCTGCCACTGCCCTGGGCAGCCTGTTCTAATGCCTGACTGCCCTTTCAGTGAATAAAGTTTCCCTAATATATTATGTTAACCTTCCCTGGTGCAAATTAAGGCCGTTTTCTCTTGTCCTGTCCCTTGTCCCCTGGGAGCAGAGCCCAACCCTCACCTGACTTCACTCTCCTGTCAGGGAGTTGTAGAGAGTGAGAAAGCCCCCCCCAGGCTTCCTTTTCTCAACACTGAGCCCCACCCAGCTCTTTCAGCCACTTCTGGCACTCCCTTCTCCAGCTTCATTCCCTTCTGTAGAAATATTCCTGCCTTCCTTTCTTGTCTTGAAGGGCTCAAAACTGAAGCCAGGATTCATGTAACATGCTCAGGATGCCCTATGGCTGGCAGTCAAGGAAGGGATAAATCACTGCAGGTGGCCTGCATCCAACTGCTATGCCTTTTCCATAAACTGAGTCATGTACCCTTTTGTTCTGTTTGCCAGAGGGAGAGCTCTGATTTGAGGGAAAGACGACAAAATAGGACAGTAACTATGTGTAAACACATGAGGATAAAGTGGTGAAAGTGGAAAGTCCCCTCTTCCAGCCTGTAATGAGGGACAGATTTATCAGGATTCTTGCAGGTATAATGAGGAATGTTAGGAGGACACAGATCTTAAAGAACCAGAGAAGTACAAATGTACTCCATACATCAAGCTAAACAAAAGCAGAGGAAGGAGAAGTTGCTGAGCTAAAAGCAAGACAGGTCCACAGGAAAGCAAAGATGCCCATTTCTCCACAGAGATTGTAAGAACAGCTGGTCTGTCGTGGATAGCAGCCTATCTCAGCCAAGGGAAGTGACCTAGATAAGGCAGCAAGAGCATAGCAACTCCATCCTGACCCTGCCCCAGCAACACACAGCATAGTCATAGAACCAAAGCATCACAGAACTGTCATGGTTGGAAACGTCCTCTCTAAGACCATTGAGTCCAACAATTAACCTGGCACTGCCAAGGCCACCACGAGCCCCTTGCCTGCAAGTCACATCCACAAACATTTAGAACACTCCTAGGGATCATGATTCGACCACTTCCCTGGGCAGACTGTTCTAATGCTTATCACCACAAAGTCAGAGGTGATCATTTTAACTCCTATTAGTGCTTAAGTTCATAGAATCAGACAGAATGGTTTGAATTTGAAGCAGCCTTAAATATCATCCAGTTCCACTCCCCTGCCATGGGAGAGACACCTTCCACTAGACCAGGTTGCTCCAAGACCTATCCAACCCGGCCTTGATCACTTCCAGGCATGGGGCAGACACAGCTTCTGTGGGCAACCTGTGTCACTGTTTCACAGGGAAGAATTTCTTCCTAATAACCCTTCAAACCCTGCCCTTCTGTCACTGTGAAGCCATTGCCTGTTGTCCTACCCCTCCATTCCTTTGTCCAAAGTTCTTCTACAGCTCTCTGGGAGCCCCTTTAGGCACTGGCAGGAGCTCCAAGCTCTCCCTGAAGCCTCTCTTTTCCAGGCTGAACATTCCCACCTTTCCCAGTCTGTCTGCAGAGAGGGGTTCTAGCCCTCAGGGCCTCTATGTGGCCTCCTCTGGACTTGCCAGGTCTACATCTTTTTGGGGACTCCAGAGATGAAGGCAGCAGTGCACAAGTAAAAGGGCCAGACCACCTCCCTTGAGCTGCTGCCACTCTGTAGGATCAGCCCAGGAAGCATTTGGCCTTCTGCACACTTTTGTATGAAGCTGCCTGGGCTAGTACCTTGGACACAAACTGAGATCAGACAAAAATTCCCCTTTCATAGATGGGTGATAGGTAGCAAAAGAACAGTGTTCAGTGTCAATCTTATGTTAGACTTTAATTAATAGTACTTCCAGCACAGCCAAGAATTCATCAGAGCTGGTCCAACCCTGCAGTACGGAAAAAGCACAGGATATTCATTAATATATCCCTTTTTGCAGGAATGGAGCCTTGTTTGAAATAACTCTCTCTCCTGTGTGTTAGGGGGATTTTCAGTCTGCAGCTATGCTTTGATTTAAAACTTGATAATCAAAAACACTGCTTGAAAAAAGCTCTGCAAGAACTGACCTCCTCCAGTTCATGGAATCCTCAAAGGTATATTCCAGTGACTTGTCACAGGCAGTTAGAAGTGGTTTGGGCAGAGATTTTCTTGCTACACATTTCCAGAGAAGTCACTGGAAACACAGCTTTAATGTCAGCTAGCAGAAAAGAAAGATACAAATCAATCCTACTAGGGGTGAGAAAAAGGGGAGCAAGCAACACACCAGGTTTATCTTCCTGAGCAGGTGACTACCAAATTCCATTGGCCAAGCCTGGAAAGGGCAAAGAATAAGTTTGGCTTTCACCTTGGAGAAGAGCACTGTCAGGCTGTGACAGTCAGCCAGCACTGACTGATCACTTCCATGGTTCACAGGCCAGAACCAGCCCAGAAACAACAGGTTAAATAAACCCTCCCTCGTTACTAGAAGAGCCCACATGAACTCTTCAGCACTGTGAGCTATTTCTGGAGCACTTTGCACCTCCAGTAGAAGTCTGGGGGCTCTGACAAGAATAATCACAGAATGGTTTGAGTTGGAAGTACCTTAAAGCTCATCTCATTCAAACTCCCCTGCCATGGGGCAGGGACACCTTCCACTATACCAGGAACTGGATGCTGGCCTGGAACACTTCCAAGGATGAGGCAGCAAAAGCTTCTTTGGGCAGCCTGTGCCAGGGCCTCACCACCCCCACGAGGAAGAACTTCTTCCCACTACCCAATCTATATCTCTCTATTAGGTTTCTTGCCTATTTATAGAAGTTATTATTTGGCCCTTGTCCTATCACTAAGCACTCTGTATACAAAGTCACTCTTTATTATGAAGCTCCCTTCTAAGTACTGAAAGAGGCTAGAAGGATTTCTTCACCAGGGATGCAACCCTTTCTGTTCTAGGCAGCAACAAAACCCAAAGTAATCTGCTGTAAGGAGCAATAGGGCTTTTTGTATCTGCTCAGTGAAGGAGGGCCACAGATGGAGGATGCCTCAGCTCCTTGTACACTCCCAGGCAAAAACCCAACCTTAAACCACAAAGATTTGCTTAAATTATCCTGGCTGTCCCATGCAGGAAGAAGGCAGATGGTAGAACAGAATCATTAAAGTTGGAAAAGACACTTAAAGTCCAATCCTTAACCTAACTCTTCCAGGTCCACCACTACACACTTCCAGAGATGGTGATTTTCGTGTGAGTCTGCTTTTGTAGAGACAAACCATTTTGTTCCCCATAGGAAAAAAGGCACAACTGCAATCATACAAACTACTGCTGTAATACCAGCCATAAACCCTACAACACTGAAGGGACCAAAGCAGCCCACTATTTTTGCCCAAGTTTATTTCTAGAAATTTGTACAAAAATTAATACTCTGTAATACAATAATCTATCAAATATGACAGATGAACATTTGTCTTTAGAGGCAAGATTCCAGGAATGTGAAGTACCATCCTCTTGCATGGAAGAAAGGCACATTTCAGAGCTCAATATACACTCAACTGAATGGTTGAAAAGGCAGGTCAGACATGCAAGTAGTGCAGTGTTTCAGGTTTACACATAAACAAATTGTATTCTCAAGAAATCTCACTACAAGCAATGTTAACATCCACGTAAACAGTTTATAAATACTTTTAAAAGTAGCTCACTTTAATTCCTATGTGTGCAAAGGCTACTCCTTTACATTCACTGGATGGAGTAATTAAAAGCCATCTTCAGGCCAGAAGTTACTTCTAGATTTCCCCAAATACTTCTGGGATCCAAAGCACTTACATCAATAGTCCCACTGCATTTTCCCCCTAGGGGCTACCCTAGAGGTCTGCAAAACCAGAGCTACGTGACTGCACCATCCCACAGCTCCTAGAGCTTATCCTTGGAGTTTTATGGCTGTGAAGAAGTCCCATATTTCCAGCTGCAAGCCTCCATGCTAACAGCACCTGGGACATACCTGCTTCTAAACTGACATTTCAAATACAGTGGTGAATTTACAGCCACAAAATCATCCACTACACTATGGATCAAGATTCACCTGACTCTTCCCACTTGGTTTCCTGCACCATCAAGCATAGATGCCACACCAGGGGGGTTGGCAGCCCAACTGTACTACCAGAAAGGGCTTTTCCAAAGCAGAAATACTCTTGTGCTACATAAGCATGTCTCAACAGGGCTCTTGTGCAACACACTTCTAAAACTGCCATGCTGCTCAAATCAACCTGCTGCTTTTTAGGTTGAAAACCAGATGCATCCTACTTTCCCAAAATTGCTTGTGCTAGTGGGTACAGTAGCTGTAGGGATTTTTCTAATCCATTGCTGGTGATCCAATATAGCAGATTACAAAGGCAATCATTTATCAAAATCCTCACAGCAATGGGGAGTTGTGCTTTTTTGGTATAAAAAGATGTTTGTAATGGGATTTCTCTAAAGCAAAGCCTTTCTTTATTATTCTTTTAAAGTGGTCTAGCAGTACTTTAAACACTTGCTTTGAAGGACACATACACCCACACATGCTTTCAAGTACACAATGACAACTTGGACTCCTGGAAAAGATGTGTCAGTTCTGAGAAGAGGAGATGCTGCTGAGCCAGTGCCTTCAGTTGACTTCCAAGACCTCAGTCTCCGGCAGGCCAAATTTGCTCTTGTATTTGTCAAAGAGTTTGATCAGGGCATCCACATATATGCTATGGTAGAAGTCCACATCCTTCTGGGATGGATTATCAATTTTGGGGATGGTGATGGGCTCGCCAACTGATAAAAAAGGGACAAATCCACGTTAGCTTAAATGCTCCTACAACCATGATATTTGTCCTCTATGGACACAGCTGTCCTAGTTCAGCACATCCATTCTGGCACAGCACAGTTTGCCATTACAGCCTCATTCCTCCCAGTTTTACCAGGCTCTAAAGCATGAGTCCCACAGCAAGGACTGCATATATCATATCTGCAGCAATACCAGATTTGCTTTAGCTACACAAATGCCTCTACTGTTCAAAGTGCCTGGAAGCCCCCCCTTCTGTTTACAGCAGTGATAAATCCCTTCTCAATTAACAGGAGCCAAGAGTCAGTTCTTCTTATGTGTTCCCCCATACACACCACAAAAGCAAAGCTGACCTTCCCCCCCCCACCCAAAGCCTCGCTGCTTTGGGTTAGAAGACTCAAATGCAAGTTTTAGGGTTGGCTTTAATCTTCAGCTGTCAGACATGCATCCCACTGGAGCATGGGGGGCCAGGTTGCTTCTGACTTCAGCTATCCAAGGCCAAAGAAAGTAGAGCTACAACCTTTTACCCCAAAAAAGAACTCTTGTAAAATTGCCTGGAAGCAGAACATTCATTGAAGGCTTGTAACCTCTGGAAACTCTTCTAGCTTGTTCTCAGTTTTACTGGGAGGTTTTATATAGAAGGGAAAGCCATTTTATAGTCAAGACTCCAAGACCAAACTACAGCAGGTTATAGCACAGATTCAAATACTCTGCTACCTAGAGAGGCACACAGCATGTTTATACCAAAAGCTTACCAACAGTAGTGATGGGCTTGGAGTAAGGTAACAACCCCCAGGTGTTGGAGGAGAAGAGGCCACGGCCATGAAAGATGCATGGAGCAAAGCCAATGTGCTTCTGGAACTTCTTCTGAACCCATCTTCCCCAGGAACCCTCTTCAAAGATCACCTGCTGGTACACTTCATTCTCCCCAAAGGAGTAGACAGGAACCAAGTCCGCTCTAGAAAGACAGAAAGATTCAGGACTCCATCCCCTGGACTGTAGTTCATGTGACAGCCCCACACCTGTGTGTTCTGTGCTGTGTGTTCTGCCAGGCTGCACAGTTTCTGGTACCATTGCCCAGAGCTTTTTGTGAGGCACAAGATACTGACAAAAGCCAGACAGACTTGGTATGACATAAGAGATATACTTTGAAGGCATACAGGAGAATTATACTGACAATGGGCCTGTGAAACATTATGCACTCAGGCATTGGACATGCTTCCATATATACTCAACTCCTATTTTGGATGCCATCTCTTTTCAGACACGTAGGGATCAGGGGGGCTGCACAGGTCATCACCCCATACTGACACTGTCTCTCCTTGCCCTGGAAGCCTCCTGCTGTCCCAGGAATCCCCCTGCCTCTGTACCTTGCTCAGGGGCAGAAGCCAAAAGGATACTCATGTCTGATTCTCTGAGCAAACATCCACACAACACAGCAAAACTGCAGAAAGGAGAACCCCTCCAAGGTATCAGCTGCTTCAGGGAACCCAATCACAGAATGTTTTGGGCTCGAGGGGATTTTTAAAGGCCATCTAGCCCTATTCCCCTGCACTGAGCAGGGATATCTTCACCTAGACCAAGTTGTTCCAATAAAAGCACCTTCCACATGGTAGCAGTAGTGCTCCAGCACTGAGGCTGCCCCTTACCCATGCCGTAGAGCCAGTTTCACAAATCCTTTCCGGTTCCTCAGTGTCACAGAGTTCTTCCCTGGGGTGCAGTTCAGGGACTCTGCTGCCCCTCCAACCACGATGATGATGGCATTGCCACTGCCATTCTTGGACAATATGTAATCTATGCTGTCACGGTTCACAGGACATATACCTGGGTTAAGGAGACACACAAGGGTCACACTGTGAGATTGGCTGGGGACTTCAGGATCTTCTCATACTTACAGCACAAAGTTTATGCCCTCATTACAAGCTGAGTTGTCCAACCTCCCTGTGGTCAGAGAGGGTGGTATTAGCAGGCAACCTATTCCTCAACTAAGTAAGCAGTTCATAGACCTGGCAGCACTAGACTTGGTCAAACTCCACAAAGATCAGCTCTCAAAAATTGTCCTTTATCAAAAGGCTTCAGCAAAGATTTCCTATACCTAGTGATATCAAAGGCATTGGTATCAGACATCCTCCCTCCATGTAAACTTTACATTAAGATTTGGTTTACCTTTAGTGTGGAAGAAAGCAGCTGTGTTATTTTGATAGATGAGAGTCTGATATTGACCAATTTCTCAGCAAAATTAGGTAGTGGAATAGATGTGGGAGAATATTTTAGTGATATAAAGAAAATAAGTGGACAAACCTTCAAGACAGATCTGAAATAATTTGAAGCTCTTGCAGTTTACAGAACAGAGTTTACATAAGTCCATACTCTGAGGAAAGTGTCTGCGCAGGCCTTTCCCTCTATTCCACACTGGAAAGAACAGGACCTCCCTTCACCTTTACTAAGCAATCTCTGCCTTAAAGCACCAGTCCTCACTCTGGGGAAATGAAAACCCAAAGACAACACCTTTAATTTCCTCTGTATTGCTTTAAAAATGTGAAGAAATTTGACTGTCTGCTTTTTAAATTCTTGCTTTTATACTACAATTGGTGTCCAAGCTGGCTCCTGCCTCACATTTTTGGCCAGGATAAGCCAAGGAGAAGTGGGATGCCATCACATAACACACCTGATCTGAGTACTTTAGGTCATTGCTCTATTATACTCATGGTATTAATTGCTTGAGCCAAGAACTAAATGATGAACAGGCCCTGGGGACTTAGACAGGACAGGTCTGCCAGTCTTGATGTCTATCTGGGAACAGGGTCATCACCTATCCCAGCTCCAGATAAGAACAGAACAGACCACATTGGAATTGAGGATGAAGAATTAGCTTCTTTCAACACAGCTACATCTCTCTGACCATTTTTCCTCTGAAAGGCTCAGACTATACTCACTGCTCCAACCTTCAGCTTTGTCCCATTCTCCACACCAAGGCTCATGCTGGCTACACAAGCCTGGCAACAGATTTATGTTCAGCTCTTTCACACTTGTTAGCAGGAGGAGATTACAGCTGCTCACAGCACTAAATAGTTCCTTCAGAAAGTGCAATGAGACAGAGACAAGTGGCAATAGATAAATCCTGCTCTTCAGCACATTCATATACTCTATAGGGTTTTCTAGTCATGCCCTCACGCCTTATAGGATTCCTGCTGTACCTTAACCTCTAGTAGGCCATAAAATTAAGAATTTGTGCTACTTGTAAGTCAACTATGCATATTGGTATTGCATTTAGTGTTAAGATTTGTTATAATTCCACTTAGAAGTGATTTGTCCACAGAAAAAAAAGATTGAGGGAATTATCAGCACTTTCTAAGTGATGTTAAGGCCTATCAGTACCCCAAATTATGGCTTTCAGAAGGTTAACTTCATCACACCTGTAGTCTTGCTTAGATCCTAGGAACAGAGGAAGCACAGTTTTCCTCTGGTTTAAGCACAATGCTCAGGGATAGCCAAGCCAGCAATGATGTTGCTAATGCCTACTCCCACATTCCTTCCAAAAAGGATAAAGCAGCTCTGGCTGGCCACAAGACTTGTCTGCCAGTCATACTAAACAGATTGAAGGTGTTTCTTTTAAATATAAAAAGGCTGCATGGAAACTTAAGCAACACAAATTTAAATTTACAGATGTGACAGACTGGAAAGCAGATCCCAACTTCTCATATGCTGCTGTCCTGTGAATTCCCACATTATGGACTTCACACAGCAACTAACATCAGTACAGAAAGATAAAAAAACAGCTTGAGATACTGCCCTTTCTACATAGGGACAAACACCTTTTCTGCCCTAGATCCTGTTAGTTTTTCTCTCCCTCAGTTAAGACAGTAAACTCAGGAATAGTCAATTCTAACAAGTCAGAGTCAGGTACAGCTATTCCTATCATCTTCCCAGCCATAGTACTTATTAAGATAACTGTTTTAAAGTCTCTTATTGATTAATCAGTTCCAGCAACAGCAGACAGGTTACTGGATTGTTCAATTCAGTCTTTAAGTGTTACTCCCTTACCTCTATCTAGTTGACAGACATCCTTGCTCTGAAAAGGATGATCAGGCCATGCAAGAACACTTTATTGGTATTTTAAACATTCTTCCTCTGCCCAGTCATAACTTACAAGCCCTCCAGCATTAAAATCCTGGACTCCATTAAAACAGACCTAATAATGTAATTCAGCACACTTAATCATCACTGCATAATCCATCTACAGGAATACTTTCAGGGAAGGGGCTCTCTGAACAGCTGGTATCCTGCAATATTTCTGGCTCTTTACCCCTGGCAGGCACCCAGAAGTATGATTGGGTGCAGACAGCATCCAACACCACCACAAGACACAGATGTGTGACAAGGCATGTGGTAGTGAGCCCAGCAGCTGAGCTGGTCATGGTTACTCAGTATTTTCAGTCAGTTCTTCCTGTACCTTCACACAATAACTAGGACAACTTGGTTCCATGAGTCCACCTTCCACAACTACAGCTGTCAGTTATCTTTACTATGCTTTTGGACAAGAGTATCCTACAGTTAAGGATGAACAGAGAGGAGCAGCAGTCCCTGCAGCCCAAACTAGTCATATTCACAGAATCACAGAATGGTTTGAGTTGGAAGGGACCTTACAGATCATCCAGTTCCAACCCTCTGCCAGGGACAGGCACAGCTTCCACTAGATAGGATTTCTCACATTTATTCACAGCTTCCTCTTGACAACTATATGAAATCAACATTTATGTGACGCTACCAGCAGGAAGTGGTTATGTGAGCTTCCAACACAGCTTTTCACTTGAAAGAAGTGAAGAGAGCTCAGAGCCAAGAGCATGAGCAGAGATGGAACAGTGTGATTGTGCTTACCACCAGACATTAAGTAGTCCCTCAATATGGGCATCCTGAAGTTCCCAGCCAGGGTAGCAAGGTATGGTCGAATCCCAGGGAATTTCTGGCTGACACCTGTGGCCTCTGTGCTGAAGTTGCAAAAGGCACCCAAGCCCATGATGCCATGTGGATGGTACCCAAAAATGTAATTCCTGGTGGTCAGCAGATTGTGGGTTTTAACCAGCTAGGAAAAAAAAAAAAAAAAAAAAAAAGCTTAATTGAAGATGGGTATTTTCAAGTAGTAAATAAAACTAGGAGAAGCAAAAAAAAAAGTCATATCCTCCAGGTTTTGTCTCTTCCCATCAGGGAGAGCAGCCTAAGAGCTCATGTATGGCCTGTCCTGGATTACAGAGATTTCTCTGGTAGGAGCAGCCATTTAGACTTCAGTTTCCTGAGCAGAGGGAGCAGGATAAACAAGCCGATCTCGGACACAAGAAGCCTGCCAGCCAAGTAGGAACAGGGCATGGGTTGCTGCAGCCTAGGCCTTTTGCTCCTCTGCTCCTTCCTAAGGAATTCTTACACACCTCTTGCCTGAACCAACCAAATTCTTCAGTTCTGTAGCCACAGCTACACCTCCTTCCAAGCCCTCTCTCAGCACATTAGTGGCTCAGATCCCAGTATGAGGGAGAAAGAGCATAAACATCACTCCCTCATAGGAGAAGCAAGTTCACTTAATGCCTGAAAAAGACCCAACCAGTTAATGAGCCTGTTGGCCACCTTCCAAGTGGGAAAATGTGCAGAAGGGTGGTAACCACTGGAAACTATCCCTCCTTTTAGGAGTTCTGCCCTGGCCTACATGCCAAAGGGTCAACAAGACACCTCAAGCCATCTCTGACTCCTGCAGGGCATGCTCTAGGAGTTGCAATCATATTGTTTTCAGGGTGTGCAATATTCCTAACCATTTCCTCCTCTGTTTGCACAGCATGGACTCTCCACAGTTGTCTTAGCTAGCATAGAACAACCCATTCCCTGGTACCACTACTGCCAGAGGGGCTTTTTTAATGCTATAGGTAGCAGCAGCATCCCATGTGTCAGAGCATCTTCCCCAGGCAATACACATGCAGTCTGAGGAAGCAGACAGCACAAAACACAGCAGGGCTGCTGCATCATCCTACAAAAATAGAGATGAAATTTAATTTTTTTACACATGTTAGAATAGTTAGTGTTGGAAGAGACCTTAAGGATCATCCAGTTTCAAACCTCTGCCATGGGCAGAGACACTTTCCTCTAGACCAGGTTGCACCAAGCCCTGTCCATCCTGGCCTTGAACACATCAGGGGATTGGGCAGCCACAGCTTCTGTAGGCAACCTGTGCCAGGACCTCACTACCCTAAGAGTCAATCTCTTCCTAGTATCTAATCTAAACATCTCTAAACATTCCAGGCTGCAATATTGCCACTTTTTGCCAACTGCAACACCCCAGCAGCTTTCAGACCTACAAGCTGAAGCTTTGGCACCCCATCCCTTGAACTGTATATGCAAAGGCCACTCTGCATCAGTTCCCATAGAAAAAGAACCCACAGATTTCCAAGATGTCACACCAGCATTACCCACCCTGCTGCCTTGGACAAGAAGTGTTTTGGCACTAGGTAAGTTCATTCTGTTGGATCACACTATAGGGAGCTGAAGTACCATTGCAATACACTAAATCAGCAAGCCCAGAAACTCGATCCCCTCCTCCCCATTCTCAGCCTTGCCCCCAGATGAAGCTACAGTTCCTGTGCTATTTAAAACAGTGGCTGTGATATAGGCATGATGCAGCAGCACGTTCTGCAAGCTGACTGGCCCTCTTCACAATTTCCTTTGGCTTTGAGGTCATGTAGAGTTCCAGGAAGAGGGCACAGAGGCTTGTGGTTGCGACAGCTCTGCAGAGCCCCATTGCCTGTATCACACCAAGTCATTCTTTCATCCCCCTTCCCTTCTTTCCCAATTAGTAAATGACTTTCACTTCCCAGGGTAGGAGGGCTGTCTCCTTGATGAGTTACAAGAAATAGACTAAAGATCAAAAACCAATCTCCAGGAAAAAAGCAGTGATATGATAAGCAACCCCTCCGTCTCTCAGTTCTTGCTCAGCTGTAGAGAGACTTCAACAGGCTATCCAGGCAGTGGTGGAGTGCCCATCCCTGGAGGGAGTTAAAAGCTTTGTGGATGTGGCACCTGGGCACATGAGTTACTGGTGGCCTCGGCACTTCTGGCAGAATGGATGAACTTGATGATCTTGGGGGACAATCTAGACAATATTCTGACTTTTTGACTACAGGCCTGGTAGATACAGACACGTGGCTTGGGCTGGACAAGCAGCAGATACTCTTTCCTTAAAGCTCCTGCCAGAGCAAGGTGGTGATTTCCAAGCCTCACCTCTCACTTGCACCAAGCACAGTTCCTTTTATAGGAAAGACAGCTGAAAGAGGGTTTGTCCTTGTCATCCTGGAGCACGAGGCACCTGCATGTTGAGCTTGGCAGAGCCACACATATGGAAGACATGCTGTCCTCCTGCTCCAGCCCCTCCACCACGTGCAAGGACACCCAGATCCCAGTGGAGCCCATTGCTTGGATACCTCATAGGAGTCCCAGCCAAGCTGCAGCCTTATCACTGGATGTTTTCCAAGAGCTCCTGTTACAGAGCCGTAGGGTTGGCAATACTCATGACAATCAAATCACCCACACCACTGCAGGAGCTGGGCAAGGGGTATGCAGGGATCCAACTAACCAATGAGAAGAGAGAAGGGCTGAGATTTAGCCTGGTATTCATACATTTGTTCTTTTCCCCTGTTTGTCCCATGCAGGCTGCCACTGCCCCCTACACCTGTCCCACAGCACAGGGGCTCACAGAAGGTAAACATGCAGGCTGCAGGTGAGGGTCACTCTATTCTCCCAGGTAAGAAGTGACAGGACAAGAGGACACAGCTTCAAGTAGCACCAAGGGAGGTTTAGATTAGGTATTAGGGAAAAATTACCCAAAAGGTACTGGAATAGTTGGACTCAATCTTCAAAGCCTGTTCCAACCTGAGTGATTCTACATGTTCTTCCACCCAAGTCAAGCCAGGGAACCTAAGACCAACAGACATCAGACAGGGTTGGGCACTTCTCTGCAAGTGGAGGCCTTGAATCTGCTAATGCACAAACTCAACCCAAGGAGGGTCTGACCTGCCAACACCTTCATCTCTCCCTAAATTTAATGTAGAAGCAGGAATTTTTGAAGCAGTGTAAATCATGCATTTCTAGACTCAAGCAAGAGTGAAGACAGTGAAATGCACAAGATGGGGCTTTGGATCTAGAATGCATTTAAAGGTCCCTTCCAGCCCAAGCCATTCTATGATTCCATGCCTCTCTTCAGGAGGCTGATCACTCACTGCTGCTTCTTTGAACCCCTCCCCTTGAGAAGCAAACAGTGTTATCAGGTTGCCCCAAGGAATTGCTGTAGCTGTCACTGAACAACAGTATTGCAACTTCTGTTCTGATCCCCCAGCTGTTTTTTTCTTGTGCCTTCAAGGTCTTCTCCAGTCCCACACAGCTCTTTGGAGCCTCGGTGCTCCCATGATGAGGCAGAGTCAGCACATCCCTGCTGCATCTCAGCCGGACAATCAGTACTGGAAGTGAAGCTGAACCTTCGCCCATTGCACTAAAACACCTGCTCCCAGCTGCTCTTAGAGACCAAACCTGTTTCTCTGGGAGCAAAGTTCATCCACCTGTCTAATAACAACAGATTTCTTTACACAGAACTAGGTCAGCCTATAGAAGCAGTAAGCCAGTGCAATAGTGTAAAGGAAATGAGTGTTAATATTTAAGTGCCAGATACAGCTTGAAGAACCATATTGCCAATTTTATTTTCAGGAACAGTGGCACATTCAGTAGTGGACAAAGGGGACTGCAGAAGCACTGCTGCTCAGCACCAGGAGCCAAAGAGCAGGAAAAAAATGAGTTGTTTGGGTGGGAGCTGAGCAGCACTGACTATGGAAGCATGCAGAGAGCAGAAAACCAGAGCTCATCCTGCAAGATCCAAGCAGCAAGTCTCATGAGCAGGTAAGCTTGCAAAACAACCCAAGAACTGCACTTAGCTGCATCACACCCAGTAACACTACAGAAGAAATTATCTTACCTTCCCAGCAGTGCAAGCCAGGACCTGAATACTGGGACCCTGTTAAGCTCCCAGTATTATATATGCCATAAATTCAAAGAATAGCTTGGGTTGGAAGGTACATTAAAGTTCAGTTTGTTCTAACCCCCTGCCATGGGCTGGAACACCTTCCACTACACCAGGTTAGGACAGAGCAATCAAACTCTTCTATTTCCATTCTGTAACTCATGTACAACAATTAAGGAGGAGCTTTGCCAGGAAGTTAGCCAAGACAAAGAATACAAGACAAATTGAGAGGGAAAAAAAAGACTTTAGGCAGCAATTCCTACTCTGGCCAGATGCCCACTCTCCCACTACAGTGAGTGGGTCTCCCTGCACACACCTCAAGTGCTCACAGTCTGACAAAGATGAGCCAAAGGTCTGAAGCCCTGGCTACTTGGAGTCCTATTGTATATGGGGATGTTCACATGCTCAGCTTCTTTACCTAAAGAAAACCTTTAGATCACAGCACTCCCAGCATGACATCCTCAGATCAGCAGTGTGTGCTTAGGAGGCTGCTGGGATCAACAGTATGAGATTGAGATGGTGTATGCAGATGATGTCTGCCTCAGTCCAGCCCCATGCATTCAGCTGCAAGGGCTTGGGCTTCACTTGTCACTTCAGGTCCAGGACTCTGTTCACTGGAACATTCCTCAGCTGCTTCATGCACTGCTTAGCTTAAATAACTATTTACAAGGCCAATAACCAGCAGATAAACTTATTTTTCTAGTGCCCTAAAATTGCTTATTACTGTCAGAACAGCTACATGAAGTCCCAGAGAATGCAGCCAACCACTGCTCATGCTGAGTAATTGAGCCAGATTCAGGCTGCTTTCCAAATCCATCTTATATTACAAAACATGACCTCATCTCCAGGTATGTGTACAACAGTCCTGGTGTTTCAGCCTGGGAGGCACTGCTGACTCCAGTGAGACCAGCCTGATCAGCACAAACATCTAAGCAGAGCTTGATTCTCGTGCAGCTACTCTAATACAGCAAGCCAAATACGAAGAAATTCTTCCCTGTGAGGGTGCTGAGGCCCTGGCACAGGTTGCCCAAAGAAGCTGTGGCTGCCCCATCCCTGTGGGGTGCTCAAGACCAGGGATTGAAGCAACCTGGTCTAATGGAAGGTGACCCTGACCATGGCAGAGGGCTGGAATGAAATGAGCTTTAGGGTCCCTTCCAACTGTACTGAGGTTCTGTGAATTAAATCAGAGCTGATAGCCCAACACAGCTGGTACCTGTGCAGGTATGGATGCAGCTACCATAGCTCTGTGTGCAGACTTTGCTGGAACCCAGTTCAGCATTACAAGTGCCACCAGTGTGACTGTCACTGATGTGATCTGTCCTTGCAGTGCTCAGCAGACACATGGCACAGGATGAGATGCAGCAGAGGACTGCCCTGACAAACCATAAGCCTGGGACACAAACCAAGCCCTATGGAGCCATTACACAGATCAGGATCCAGTAAAAGGGGCTTTTGCAGAGAGAACATTTAAACAAGTGATCCTCTGTAGACCCATCTCCCTCTTGGCCAAGAACAGGTTTAACCCAGTTTAACCCAGGAGTTCCCATGCTCTTAGCAAGCCCAAGGCATTCTGGCTCTTGGTACCATTCCGAAAATCCAGAGATGTTGTTCATACTGATGCATTGTTTATGCGTCAGTCCTGTAACTGCAAAAAGCCACCTCTAGCACCTCTCTACCCTAAGATCCCTCTAGCAGCTTTTACCAACCCTGCAGCCAGCTGGCTGTTCCCCCAAAACACATGCAGGAGTCATCTCCCAGCTGTCAGCCCTCCTGTTCTGCTCTTTGCATGTGAATTACCAGTGGATTCCATAAACCTTGCATAACTCCTCCCCCACAGTGGCAAAAGAATTACACCCATAAAGAGTTCTCACAAACAGGCTATGTGAACTAGCAAGTATTTCTTTTAAAACTGCTGCAAAGTTTAGTTTATCTACCCCATCTCATCTCCAATCCTACTTAAACAACCCAGCTCTTTGACAAACTTTCAACATCCACAGTGAATCTGACCTGCAGGGCTTCTGCAGTGCAGATTTCCAGGAAGACAGGGATAAATGTGCCATCACAGGAATGATGGAACAGCAGAAGCAGCACTACAGGTGACCCTTTGGAATCAAGTCCCCAACATAAGAGAGCCCACCTCAGCAATATCCAAGACAGCAGTGTTTAGTGCAGCACTGAGGACTTGGTACTAGAACAAAACACATTTGAGACCCATCTTCAACAGCAGAGCCTGCTTAGTTCTCTGTCAGCCATGAGACCCAGGCTGACCTCCAGCCTGTGCAGGCCTAGTGAATTTTTCCATGTACACTTAAACTTGCCAAGAATTACCTGTTAACAACAGCAAGTTTCATGGTGAACTTGGCAGTGCTGGGTTAATGGTCAGACTTGCTCTTAAAGGTCTTTTCCAACCTAAATGGTTGTATGTTTCTAAGAGTACAACAAAAGGCTTGTTCACCAGCAGCACGTTCAGGCACCCTGAGAGTTCGAGTGACTTTGCAAAGGAAGAACCCAGTCTAAGCTGCTTTGGCATCCTGCTGGAATTGGATTCCCTGTTCCTTTCTGAGGCTGAACTGTCTTGGGGATAGGTAGTTCAAAAGCCATATCAAGGTCCCTCCCTCATACTCAAACTGAATAAAACTTGCCAACAACCTTACATAATAGTCCTTTCAGCTGTGTGCCCTTCCAAAGGGATCATGTTCCCTCCTAGCCGAATTTGACCCCTGCTCCCTTCCAAGTCATCCAGCTAATTCTGCAGTCCCAGAGCAGTCTGGCAGCCCTGTCCCTCTTTCTGCAAGATGTCTGAACCAGCAGGAAAAATACACGTATGTGGCGAGCAAGTTACAAGCTGGAGAACTGAAGCTATTCCCACTGCGGGAAAACCCACTTCTCCAAAGCAAACAGGCTTTTGAGGACAAATTTTAATGCTCCCTGAGAAGTGCTAAGACTTTTGGTGAACAGAGGTCCCAGATACTCTGGTCCAATACATCCCAGAGCAGAATTGCTACTGGAAAACAGGCAAAAACTGAGCTAGATTTTATGATTTATAAGAGGGGAACAGTGTTAGGGTCAGGCACTACACAGGACTGCTGCAGCACAGAAGAGAATCAGAGTGATTTGCACTGGAAGGAACCTTAAAGATCATCCAATTCCCTCCCATGGGCAGGGACAATTTCCACTAGACCAGGCTGCTCCAAGCCCCATCCAGCCTGGCTTTGAACACTTTGAGGGATAAGGCAGCCACCACTTGTTGGGATAACCTATGCCAGTGTCACCAGAAGCTGGAGAGATGAAAAAGGATTATAGATTGCTTCCAAGAATCTGTAATACCACTAGAAACAGCAGCTTCTGCGAATCACATTGCCACTAAAGGTGATACATTTCAAATTTTGTAATCACAGCTGCCACAAACACTAGTATGGCAATGCTGAGCCACATCCTGCTTACAGTTCAGTATCACAGATAGACTAGTGCCAGTACAAGACACTAAAGTAGTTAAATCCCAGGGTATAGAGTTAAACTTTTACTTACTCTTATTGGAAAATAATCCCTGAAGTACCTCCATATGGCCCAGTTTCTCACCCACTGGGACCTTCTTCCCCCTGTTGAGAAAAATGAATCATGAATTTAAAGCTCTTTCTACATGGCTGTCCATCAAAAGCCTAAAGGACTCCAGCATTTGCTGTCTCACTAGAGGAATCAAAACTAATTCCTCCACGTGGGACACTTGCATCAGTGCACACTCTGGAATACAAGGTACTTCAAGCAAAGTAGGCCTGACTACAAATTCCTGGTAGGCAACTCTACAATTCAAACTAGAAACACTCAGATTCAACCTTTGGGAAAGGACAAAATCCTCGATGATTTCAGTCATCTTGAAGCAATGGAGAACTTGCTCATCTGGCTATAAAAGTAGCTGCCAAAGCTTGTTACCACTGCTGATTCCTAGAGTGGGCTTCTACAGGTTTTTTTGTTTTTTTTTTTTTTCTGAAATAAAGTCTTCTGCTTAATTTGAAGCAACACTAACTCCATAGAGGAGCCACATCTTAATAATCACATCACAATCTGAACTTGCAAGACCTGGAGAGGGCAGAAAGGTCTTGAATCTTTAGATCTTTCTGAACTAGGTCTTATAAATATGTTAGTAAAAGCCAGCAATGGCACAATAGTAGTGAATATTAAGTTCGTAATTGCCCTCAACATCAGTGAAACCTGCAGTCACTGCTTATGCTGAGGGCTGACATTTAAATGCTTCACTAAATAATGCTTTTGGTCAGTGATTCAGTCAAAGTCCCACTAAGAAAGGAAGTCATCCATTACAAGGATGTACTTCTTTGTCCAAACATGGAGACATGGACACTTTAAGAATAAGGATCTGTTCTGCAATATTTACCTTTCTTTGGTGTATTCCAGTCAAATACCAGCCAAGCTAAATATAGAGCAGCAATCGCCCAGCAATCTGTGCACAGTATGTACATGAGGATTAAAGTGCAAGCAATACCTGGGAACGTGCAAGAAAGAAGAAAACAAGGTTGCATCAGGTATTGGTCTCCATTTACACCCCTTGCCTTTTGACTCTTCTATGCTGAAATCTTAGTCTCAGTCTGATGTCATTAATCCTCTATCAAATTGGATTTGGCTCAAAACCTCATATGTAGGGCTGAGGCAGCTTCCTCTAGAGCTCAACCTTCCCTTAATGTTGCCTCTAGGCACCTCTTATATCTCCAGGTAGGGCAGCTGCTTCACCAGACTTGATGAGCACCAAGACTTCTTTTCCCCACACATCTCCCACAGGATACACCAGCTCTGCATCAGCCATCCCACCAGGGTGCCAAGGATCCCACCCACAAATGACATTGACTGCTCTAAGCATCTGTCTCACTCTACCTTCCCAATTCAGTTTGTGCTAAAACGACATTCTCCAGTTTAATTATTATCAATCCAATGGAGGAGAGCAGCCTGAGGTTTCACATAATCCAAGTACCCAGGGACAAACAGGCTTTACTCTTCTACTGGTTTAACACAAACATTCCTTGCCCATCTCTGGTACCTCCTTTAAGGAGACCAAGTCAAGAGGAAGACATTCCTGTTGCAATCACTTGCATCAGTTACAAGCTGCTTCTAAGAAATCTTTGTGGATATTCCCATGAGCAAGCCAAGTAAGACATTTCCTATTGCTTCAGCCTCATTTGCATGTAGACAGGTACGAGCTAAACATCAGTCAGTCTTTCCATAGCTCTTATGATTTTCTAGAGCCAGGAAAAGTCATTTATAGTTGAAAATATCAATGTAAGTGGTTTAAAATATCCACGCACCCCAGGAACTACTCTGCTGCAGTACACATCTAGTAATTAACGTTTATGTAAAACTTAACATTTTTGCATTAAAATTCATCCAGAATTACAGCCAAAACCCCTTTGCTTTAGGCCAAAAGGTGTTACCCATGATAAGGAAAGTGAGAACCCATTGCAGCACAGAGATGATTTGGAGTTGTTTCTCTACTTTGGATTTCAAGAGCCAGAACAAATCCTGCAGAGCAGAAAGAATGTTCGATCCCGTGCCTAAAGAAAGAAAAATAAAAGAAAAAGTTACACTTGCACACTGAGCAAAGGGAAGAATATTTTTCCTTTGAAATAGAATCATAGAATGTAGAGTGATCAAGTCCAACTTATTTAGTAAGAGTTTTCAGATGAATGTGCACTTTGCTTTTAGAGCAAGGCTTGCTAAAAGCTAATATTTTCCATGGAGTTTGGGCATCCTGGAAGAGGAAGGATTGCCATGTGCCAACACCTAGCTTTTTTCAGAATACTGGAGGGGATCAGTACCCACCTGAGCAAGCCTCTGTTCAACTGACCATAAAAATGCAGAGGATGTTAACACGTGTTCCTAACACATACCCTCACCTCAAACTGCCAGTTCCTGGAAGTGGTGCTTGATAAGAGCGAACTCCACGAGCTCACAGTAAGATAAAGATCAGCTGCCTCAAACCACAGGCAAGCAGACACCAGGCTGTGGTCTGAGCTATTCTCAACCACCCTTCTCAAGGGCTGTTGCACAACTCCCAGTGCTGTTCAAGGACAGCTCTGTGCTCCAGCCTTACTCAGCACAGCCCAAGGGCTAGTTGAGCAACACCTCAACATACCATCCTGAGGATCCACAGCTCCACGAGTAAGGAAAACTATCAGCACTCCTAAAGCAGTAAATAAGAAGTAAGGAGCTGAAAGCCACTCTTGTAGAAGGTTAAGATATGCAAGCAGGGAAAAACCCAAAAGTGAGTAAAACACTGAGAACACTTGCTTTCTATATGAAGAACCACCCACTGCAGCTTTTGGCAATACACTCAGCCCCCGGAAGGAAGCACTTGCAAGTGGGTTTTCCTCCACTTTTCTTCATTACTTTATTTACAAGCACTGGCCAAAATACAAATCATGTTCATGTGTATTTACATATTCCCTTTTGTATTTAAGGATCAGCCTGTTATTAGGACTATGAAAGAAGCTATTACATTGAATAGGTTCAGTTCTTGCTGACAAGACATGAGCCTGCTAGTGGTAATAGCATAGCAAGTGTTCACACTCAGTCAAATGAAAGTGATTGAAAATAGCTTCTCTAGATATAAGCAGGCACTAGGATTTTTGGTAGTTTCTACAAAGAAACCCTGTCACTGGTACATCCTTTAAATATGTAAAGCAACTGTCTCATAGGAATGAGGGTCAATTTAGATGAGACAAGGAAGAATTCTTCTGCTATAAGAGTGGAGGCATGCTGGCACAGGTTACCCAGAGATGCCTCATCCCTGGCAACATTCAGGGGGGAGACACACTAAAGTCTGCAGTCTAAAACTAGAGAAAGACCACCCAGTTCATACCCTTGGTTCTGCTTAGTCCATATTACATGGACAATCCCAGTAGTGTGCTGGGCATTACTCTAATCAGACCAAGTTTGGGATAGATCATACCACTACAACTGCCAGTAAACTGCAACCTACAGCACTAATCCAGGCTGAAGCAGCAGCTAGAGCTGTAGGCAGTTCTTTACAAGATAATACAGTGCAGTATTAAGAATGAATCCAGCAAGTAGTTCTCCTGTTTCTGAGGCGAGACAGGAGAATATGTTGAGTTAATTTGTCACCATACATTGATCTGCCACACTAGAGTATCTAAGCAGTGAGATTCAGCAATCCCATGCTGTAAAATCTAGCAGCTAAACCCCAAATTCACCCTATTTTTTTTTACAAAGCCAGTTGCCTGTTCAAGGGTAAAAGAAATCTTTGGGTTTGCAATGGTTTGTATTCAAAGAGACCTTTATAGCTCATCTCAATACAATGCCATGGGCAGGGATATGTTCTGCTAGATCAGGTTGCTCAACTCTTGCAGAGGGACCATAGCTCCAGGAACTTGCTGTCCCAAAAACCTTACAAAACTGCACGTGGACAGAATTGATGTAGACTGAGGATTACCAGGAAGAAGTTTAAAGAAAGCATTTAGCAATAGTGGTGTCACTGGACTATCTACGGACTGTCTATGTCCTTAAAAGTAGCCAGAAGTCTTAGAGATTATTTGTGACTCACAATAAAAGCCCAGCCCCAGGTAACTTTTTTCTTCAAGTACCTGCATTTACACTGCTAAACCTCTTTGGCTGCATAAACCCAACACTCCAGCCTTGGATCAGCTAAATCCCTATCCTCTTCCCAAAGAGAACTGTTTATCCCTCTAGATAAAAATTTCTGTCTGCATTTTCTAGATGTTTGAACAAATTGTAAGCATTGCCAGCCCTCTAAATAGACCAGCATTGGGTAGCACAAGTCAACCTGTCAGCTTGCTTTTCAAGCCACATAAAACTCACATTCAACTCCTGCAGTGGTTTGGGAGACAGCTCTAAGCACCTGTCCTTAGGCAAGTGTCCTGGTCGGTTATTTGTTGAAAGCAAAAATACCCTTCAAAAAGAACAAGATTCTCCACACCAGAAAAGTCAGTAGTTACCATGGCCTGAATATTAACATTTAATTCCCAGTTCAGAAATGAAAGATGCCCAGTAGGAAAAGAAAGGACCATGGGAATGGTCAGTCAACCTGGCAAGTTCATCAGGTCTACCTTTGCACCAAACCTGCAGACTCTAGATTAACCCATTTCATCAACCAGGCATCTACAGATTTTAGTGCCAAGACAACCCTTTCCAGACAGTCCTGAGCTTCCTTTCCATCATGTCAGACCTGACACTGTGTATTCAGCTCCCCATGCAAGCCTTGTCTCCTTTCAGCTTCAGCAACCAGGAGGCATATTTGGAAAGATCCTCCATGCTCTGGAGAACCAGGCCAGTGACTAGTGACACAGAGCAGAAAGGCTTTGACAAGTCAACAGAAATGGGGGTTGGCATTCAGCCACAGAAGAATAACCCAACATTGTCACTTGACTTCAGTCCATTAGAGAAAATACTTCCTTTTAAGGGCTCACCATCATTTAATTCCATTTAACATCAAATGCAGGACTTGCTACCAAGGAGATTCTGGAGTCAGCAAATGGTTTGACCAAGCATTTGACTCCTGCAATATGGACTCAGCATCTGGTGTTCTTCTAGCACAGTTTATTTCAGATAAATTACACAAACAACATTTATCTAGGCAGGGAAATAGAATCAAAGATCCCAAGAGTAGAAGTAAACAGGACTTCATACCTGGACACCAGAAAAACCCAACTGACAGGACTTAATTAAAAATCAGCCAAAGAAATTAACTGAGAAGTACAAATGTTACATACAGTTAAAAATACACTGAAATCTTGTTAAATCCAAGCTTCATCTGCCACCTTTTCCAGAAAATTAGCACATTAATTCTTGGCCAAGAATTAAACTGTTTCACATAGTTTAGAGGAAAACTGTATTCAAGCCATTAAAGCATTAGCTGTAACTGGACATTTTGAGCTACATATTTGGCAGAGAAGCTGAAGTTGGAGGGATAGCAAAGATAGCTACCATAAACAGACCAGTACTAGACTATTCAGGAGGACTCAGCATCCCACACAAGAGCAGGAGCCCACACAACACACTGGTGCACCTGTAAAAACCCCTTGAGCAACACAAGTTGTTTTGTGTCTTGGGTTTAGCTGGGTGCCCCAAGCACAAGCATATTCACTATAGACTAAACAATTTGTTAAGAAACTAATTGTTACATGAGGTCGGAGACAGACACAACTCATCATGCAACAAACAGTTTGGGTTATTGTTCCAAACCATCTTTTATACAGGGTTCAAAATTCCTGGGCTTCAACAACTGACTGGTCGGAGTCTCAACACCACCCAGTTCCCTGACTAATATATCTGCATCCAAGATAAAATAGAATTAGGTTGGATTTAAACTTAGAGGAGACTTCTGCTATCATTGTCCATTCAGAGACTTGTTTACTTCTCTTCTATAACAAACTAAACTAACCAAATTAGTTATACTAACTGTTCTAGCCAAATTTATCTGTCCAGCTACAGACCAGCTGTGCTATGACAAATAATGAGTAACCAGCACAGAGTATACTCCTCCTGCCCTGTACACAGCTTTAGAGGAGTTTGCTCCTGCCCCAGGAAGCTACTCAATCCCATATATCTGCAGTACGTTGTAACTACACCTGGAGATCAACAGTATTGTCAACAGGGATATGCAAATAAAAATTTGTATCAGCTCCTTTAGAAAGGAGCTGGGGTTCTCCAGATCCAGTAAACTGATCTGTCATGACACTTCTCATGTTAGCTGTGCATTTACTCACAGCAGTAAACTCAGTCTCCACACTCACAGCTGCATGTAGGTTAAAAAGTGATGGAACCACAAGACCCCACTTTCCCAGACCAGCCAACAAGTGTAGATTTAAGTTAGCAAGACTGAACAGGTCTGGACAAGAGAAAATGACCCATCCTACTACAGCTCATCAGTGTGTCCAGAGCATATGAGAGCTCCCAAAGAGGGGTTTCATATGAGCAAGCCCAGACCTCCACCTCTCAAGCAAGAGAAAACACCTCATTGCAGCCAGCCATGATCCTGTTCTCCCAAAACAGGAGCACCCAGGCTGCCCACCCCAGAGCAAACTGAGCTCTGGTAAACCTCACATGCAGTATAAGACTAACTCCATGGTAAAGCTAAGCAAGATCACCTTCCTCATCCCAAACTTCTGACTGATGAAGCAACATTAGAAAAGACACTTCAGCACAGGGCAGCCTTTCAATGTTCCAGCCACACTGGCATCTTTCCTCAGGAGAGAGGGATGAGAAAGACCTCCTTGCTGCTCTGCCAAAAACAAGGAGACCTCCTGGGCATCCTATGGCCAAAGTCAGGCAGGTCAAGATGAGGAGACCACAGCACATCCTACCTGACCAGGTGTCTCAGAGCATCATCCAACCCTAGGCATTGGTCCACAATCTGCTCTGACTTTTGCAATGCTGGGTTGATATCAAAGGCCATTCCTCTGCATATATATATACAGGGATAGATATAGAGGCAGATGCCTGCACTGCCTTTTTTTCGCTTGTATTTAAATAAGATCAGACTTAATTCAGTCAAATTTATAAGCACCAGGACAAAATCAGATGCCAGGAAAACAATAAGACTAAAGGACAGTATGAGCCATTCAGATGTTCATCCCAAAGCCAGGCCTTTGTACAAGCATGATACTTGGAAAAAAAAATTCAGGGAGGTAGGAAATCTAGTGGGTTTGTTCCTCTGTAGCGGGAGAAGTTGTCCAACATGATCAAGCAGTACATAAGGTCTCATGAACGAGCCTGTACACCACATCATCTCTGCCAGTTTTGATCTACAGGATCCCACATCACTGTCCCCAAAATCCAGCCCGAGTCAGAGCTCTTCTGGGAGGCACCTGGATTCGGCTTTGAAGTCAGTCCTTTGCTTTCCTGCCCAGGCAGGTTACAGAGCTGGCAAGGATTTGGTGGATGTTGCAGTCACCAAGGTAACATCCCAAGTCTCCCAAGGCAGAAATAAGTTAAATTAAGTTAAAAAGCACGAATATCACTGCAGGATCCCCACGAGGTGCCTCAGAGGAAAACTGACCTGAAGAGAGTTAAGACAGCTTTCCATCGCTAATCAGGATTATCTAGAGATGAGGCCAATCACTGTCCCTAAACCACACTCCATTTTGAATTATGCATGTGTCCTAGATCCATCAACAACATGCCAGTGCCAACAAGGTGGATGCTGAGGTCTCAGGTCAACCCTACATATTTTATAGGTTTCCTGAATTATTTATTCTCTGCACTTAGTTTGCAGTTAACTCTTAATATAACAGTTCACATGCCGCTAAATTCAAATGACCTCTCTCAACTGAAAATATAACTTGTCCTCTGTTAGTCATGCAGGCAAGCCACGTTATTTTAAGAAACAGATCTGAATACAGGAAACACACGCAGGTCTTCTCTCCAATCGGTTCACAACTGATCCTTCAGATCAATCTCTAATATCCTTCTGGCTGAGATGAGCACCAGCAGCTCTACACCCAAGACTGGGCAGGACAAGTGCAAAAGCAAGACCTCAGAGGTTAATTCACCAGGTTCATGTCCTTTCAGCTCTGCTAATGATTTGTTTAATCAATCCATTTCACAGGTCTCTTCATCCCAGGAGATATTAGCAATTTCACAACACAGAGCAATCATTCAAGGAGCCTCCACAAATCACAGGGTAAATCGCTGTCCACCTTTTCACCCCGCTGTTTGCAAATCCTGACCTTTCTCTAGGCAAGCAGAGAGGATACAAAACTCTATCCAGCCAAACATTTAGACTTGAATTTTTTCC